TAAGCTCATAATGAGATAGAAGTCACTTATTATCGTTTAATCGGTGATTCAAAATATGTTATTTTTGATAAGCTAATGAAACTATATATTGTTGTATACATTTCAGCCGTTCACTTGACAGTCGATCATACACACCATGAGAGTAGTATATTTGAGTCGAACAATCTGAAAACAGTTTTTGGTTGATGATGTTATAGATTCTTTTTTAACTCAGTGAATTTTACTGAGCGTTAACCCCTATCTTTGCTGCTATCTTGACATAGTGGTCGGACTTGCCTATCTTGATGAACCAATCGAACTATACTAGCTAGAACAATCATTCCTCAAGGTCTTACAATGCCAGACAGGTCGAATGAAGAACGGTATGACTAAAAGCAGCAAACTCAAGTTCCGAGGGTGAAGTAGTACTGCAGACTATACAGGGATGTGACGACAGTAAGGTGTTTCCTTCCGACCACCAGCATTACAGTGATGCCGCCTTCTCACAAGGAGGGGTGTGGTTAGAAAATGTTGACCCTGAAAATGCACACCTTGTCTCATTGCACGGATTTCTGTCTGCGGCATTGAGGTTTCAACAAGTACGGTGCTAACACGTAAATTACTCTCAAAATGTGGTGTGTGAACGACCTCAAGCAGTTGTCACTTGAGAACTTCGGTCACACTCTCAGGTCACTAGGACCACCCTCAACAGAATTTCTCTTTCGGATACCTCGAGAAGACCCCTTCCACAGTGTGTGCAACCGGTAAATGATAACCACCCTCATACCCCTAACAGTACTCAAGATCTCTGTATTCATATTCAATCTCCCTCTTCAATTCCTATTATTCCTATTACGTCGACTTTCAATACTTAACTTTCTCTTTTGACTTTCTCCTCAAGCGTCACTGTTGTGAACGGGGAAATAAGAAGCCTAGACAAACTACAAAAGTTATTTCTTGGAACGTTATTTCACTTTATTCAAACCTCGTTAAACACTTATATTTATTTTTGTCCGTATTTTATTCTACATAACATGAGCTTTCGTTAGGTTTATCATTCACTGCCATACCCTTTTTTCTTCCGAAAATATTGTAATTTAAACATAATATTTTGCATCTTATTTTCTACCCTAATTCCCAGTTTCCGGCATAATTGTATTTTTCCAAATTATCGTACGTTGTGGTCAGGATATTCACTTATTTACATTTTTGCACTAATCCGAATTCAGAATTCAGAGCGTTCCAAGTGTCTTGTCTTCTCTCACTTGCGTGCTTGCCAACCAATCAGGTTCTAGAATAGTTCTCTCTCTACCCCATGTCGAACTCACGCGTATTAGCCTCAAGGTTAAGCCGCACAGTCTATTGCGCCAAGGTCATAATCTAGACTAGACAGCTCAAGGTCAAGTCATAACAAAGTATCGACGGGGTAAAAGCGATTCAAGGTCATAACAGTCACCATGGACGACAATTCTAGTGCGCAAAACACTGTGTCAGGTCTACTGAGACCTCGCTCCAAACTACACATTGGAGCCCTCAACTTACGCGCACTGTGTCAAATCAGCCAACAGGCGTCCTGCACTAAAACCCTGGAGTCTCGTACCATTGATTCATGCTGTGTCTCCGAAACACAAATAAAGGGTACTAATGCGGTCATTCAGTTGACCTCCTCTTGCCAAGACGGAGAGCCGACGATAAATATCCCCCATGTTTCTGGCAACCCGATGGCTATTTCTCACGGACTGGCAGGTGCAGGCATAGCACTGAGTACGAGGGCAGAACAACCACTATTAGAATGGATTTCTGCTAACAGTCGCCAATATTCTGTTCGGCTAAACGGCTCTGTAAAGACTCAGAAGGGGTAGGGATACATATCGTCGCCTTTTTATCGTTTCTGCCTAAGCTCTCACTGGCTGCAGCTCGGATGAAGTGAAAGATGACCTTTACAGAAAGCTTCTTAAACTTCTTCGTAAAGCTAAACGCTCGGACATAGTACTCGTAGCAGGTTACTTTAATGCCCAGATAGGTAGCTTAAGCCAAACAGAAACATATTTAGCTGGGTATTTTAGTATCCTGACTCAAAAAAAAACAGATAATGGTGACGTCTGCTGCAACTGTGCCCAGACGATCGTTTATTTTTAGCAAGCACTAATTTTAAGCATAAGGAGAGACATCGTTTAACATGATGACCCCCTGCACTAAACCAACGAATGGACTTAAATAGATCATGTCGCCATCAGTCATCATTGGAGACTCGCTCGTTCTGGAATACCTGTTTGGACTCCGGTCATGCTGTATTACAAGCATGCATTTGCTTGCGCCTCGCCCATTAGATTGAAACTCAGTGACGAGAAAACCAAAAGTAGATCCCAGGAACAACTGAGGTCACATTTAATATTTTCTGAAAACGGGACTGACCCAGGTGTTGCTTTGAAAGACATAGGAACAGCTGTAGCTTCAGACCTGGTCGTAGCTGCATTGACCACATATTCACCATTCGTCAGGTCCCAGAACACATTATTTATTTTAACACATAGATATTGGTACAAGGAGGCACCAAATACATATGCGCCACACAAATCTCATTCGATATGTGTGAGGGCTGTGATACTGCCCGGGTGCCAGACTGAAGCAGGTGGTTTTCTTAGGAGACCACTCCCCGAGCCCTCGACTTGAAGGTCTGATCCACAAGGCAGTGGAGCATCGTAAGGAGATGCAGTCCCATGGAAGCCGGTGACCAACAATTGGTTCATACGCCATTTGTTCCCACAGGATACTGGAGCCAGTCCATGTGCACCATTGGTTTGGAATCCGGTTAAAGCGCCGGACATTCGCTTTTCGTCCTCTCATTTCGTAAACAACACTCTTGGTGTGAGAAGGCAGTGAGTAAGACTTCCCTGGCAGAGGCTATATACGCATGGCCATGTGAGAGCATTTCGAGAGGGAGAGCGGACTCTCCCCACTCTCGACTGTGCCAGGGCATTTGGGCATCCGACGAGTTTTTCTTGACTTAAAAGCAGTATGTCATTGGAAGGTGTTGTTGCTTCAGGACTGGCTTGCATCAGCATCTGAACTAAGGATAGGGAGAATCGACTAATTCACTTATCCTGGAAGTCTGGCCAGCCCTAGTGGGTTGATGTCTGACGAAATCTCAGCACGGATTCAAAAAGCTCGCTTGGCTTTTGCCAACTTACGTCACCTATGGCGAAGGCGAGATATCCGTCTATCAATAAAAGGACGAGTATACTGCGCGACAGTCCGTTCTGTTTTAATTTACGGCAGCGAAACATGGCCATTAAGAGTAGAAGACAGTCGTAAGCTACTAGTATTTGACAAAAGATGCCTCAGAAATATTGCTGGCGTCTGCTGGGATCACCGGGTAAGTAATATTGAGGTTAGACGCAGGGTATTAGGGAATGATGGTAAATCAGTCGATGAGGTTGTGAATCTTCATCGACTGAGATGGTTAGGCCGTGTTATGTATGCCCGAACACCGATTACCACGACGTGCAATGCCAACTGGTGTTCCGGATGGAAGTCACTAACTTCTAGTCTGAGCCATGTTGGTAGATGCAGACTACTTGGTTGGGGTCCGCGTGACTATCGTAACCAATGGTTGGAGACTCTTGGTGAGATGGCTCAGAACCGATCACAATAGCGTAGGTGTATACACTCTCTATCTTCCCTTAAGCTAAGAGATTAAAATCGCATCATATCTTTCTTTCTATTAACTAATTCTTTCTTCCCGTACTATGTTCTTACATGCAATCTTTCTTTTATATATTACCACCACTGAATTAACTACTTCTATGAATTCGGCGTTCATCTTCTTGTGCTAATGAGGTACGGCAACTTGAACCGATGCATATGTGTGCCTGGTCCTACGTGGAACCTGTGCACAACCAAAGTGAGAGTTGTCACTTTACATAATGACCTACTTTATTGCCTCCGCGTTGAAATCATTAATGTTTATCACTCAACACGATGAAACAGATTTATCTAAATTTCAACAGCGCTGGAAAAGAAACGATGAACGGAAAACAAGTGGACAAACAAATGTTCGATAACACGATCGAACCATTAATGATAAGATGCAGTTGCGTTGCTGCTAACAGTTTTAAGCAGACTAATGTACTACTCATCCGAAGCTATTCTTAAACCAATCTCACTAATATGTCGATTCATTTTCATTACTGGGTTACATTGTTGAATTTTATTAAATTCAAGGACTGATCTAAGCTAGACCACAAGTGAAGCGCTAGAGGCCCATCTTGTCCTAATACAGGACTTCGCATCAGTGAGAACCTATGATCCTGCACGCATGGATTGAACCCGAGATCTTTAGTCCCACACATAGACGCTCAACCTCTAGATCAATGAGTCGATATCCAATTTCTGTTTCGCAACTCAATCAGTAGTTCGTGATTTCTATTATACGGGAAACTGGAGTTTCTTTTGTAATCTGAACTTGGTACTACAATACACTCAACTAACTTATAAGTTATGCATCAAGACAGGAAAATTACGAGACAACTGTAATCTAAACCGTTATTTCTTTAAACGAAAACTAAGACAAACTATATAAATGTACTATTTACCTATTTAAACTGGAATTGATGAAAAAACAAATAAGTTCTTTTTGCCCACTTAACATTTCCGTTAATCCACCAACTTAAAATAATTTTTAATAGTTCAATTCATGAATCAATTGGAGCTACACCACCATAGAAAACCTGGAAGCACTAGATACCCTAGATACCCTAGTATGGGACCCCTCAGTAGTGCGCACATTCACGATCCCGCCTGGCGAGATTCGAACCCAAGACTTATTAGTCTCGCACATGAGCGCTTAACCTCTAGACCACTGAGCTGATCATGAATGCGCATTGCTGAAGAGTACCATACTACGACGAAACAACCGTCTAGTGATCCCAGATTTCCCATGATGATCTAACTTCAATGGACTTATGATCTCAACTATTAAAATGACTATAATATCCACAAAACCCCTTCTGATATTTATCATTATTATTATTATTATTATTATTACTGTTTTATCAGAAAAGCACAATTCACAATATGAATAAAACAAAGTATTCCAAAAATATTCTTATGTTAATAAGATAAAGAAATAGGTGGATATCATCACAGTGAATGAGAAAACAAAACACGTAGAAATTACCATTTAACAAACAAAAAAAAAACACCTGAATATCACTTGAGAGAGATACAGAGATAACACAAGAAAAATGATGAAAAATGATACCATGATAGCATGAAATGAAAAATATTTATTAGTCCAACTACCACCTTATAACAAAAAAAAAAAATCTCAACAAAATGAACAAAAAGCGAAAAACAAATGTGAGTATTGTGACAGAATTATGACAGTGTTTGTGTAAATCAACCTTATCCTCATCATCGACCTCATCAACACCAGAAAAATGGGAACCATAAGAATGGAGACCACATAAGTGTACCAGCTGCTAAACCTAATAAAGCTGCATCACCAAAACCATAACCACATCCACAATAATAACCATGTCGACAATGACATGGAATTTCATTTCCATCACCAAGGATAATTGTACGCGATCCATCAGGATGTTCAATAATCTGTCGTGGCATTATATATTCACCATCTGAACCACGGTATATAATCTATGGGAAATAATTAAATTATAGACATTTCAATACATTCATATATTCGACTCAGTATAAAATAAAACAAGATAGGTCATTTTAAGTAATCAATATAAAATAACGATGGTTAGAAATTTATATGTTGTCACTCTACAAAAATGATCAATTTAATAATATGGTCCGATAACTTGCACAGAAATCAATAACTAACCAAAGTTAATCACGTTGGTGAGTAATCAAAAGAACACCATTATAGTCTAATTGCACATTGATTATAAGCAAAGATGGATAGTGGAATCTAGGACGCGCGTTTCGTCCTATTTGGGACTTGTCAGCTTGATGTATCTACATCTCAGAGTTGATGTTCACTCTGAGACTTGAACCCAGTACTGTTCGCTTCAAATGCCATCGTGTTATCTACTTAGCTACTGAGTGCTGATGCTTGTAATTTAAGCCAATACGCACAGTATGCACATATGCCAATAAGAAACTGATCAATTGCAGTTCTAAATAACAATGGAAAGATTCAAGTTAACAATATCAAGTGAATTTATGATTAACAATATTTTGGATAAGTAATATGTTATTAGTCCGAATGTTTCCCGAAAGGTATGATCGCATCAGAATTCATGTTTTTGGATGCTAGAAAGAGAGGCTACATAACACTACCATGAGTACTTGAATTTCACAGATTATTTTGCAGGTTTACTTAATTTGATGAGAATAAATCTTAAAACATTATCTATCAAATGCCTCCAACAAACATCTATTACACTTTAAAGTTATGTGCCAATCCAAAAGTGAATGTGATTACCAGCAGTACGAGGTGAAGATGTACTGAGCATTACAAACTATCAACAAGAACTGAATGAACAAAAAACAATGCGAAGGCAGATATCAGTCAAAACATTAATTAAATATCCTGTCGGCCCATGTTGTCTCAGTATATGAACTACTTTGACAGAACAGGAAGTTTATGTCAAAAATAAGGATATCATTTTAGCTTTTGTGTAAGAGTTTTATTTGCTCACCATAACAAAACATACTTCATATGCTGGTATACAATACCTTCAAACTAAGTAAAATTAGCTTAAGTACATCCACGTTTCACAGTGCGGGGATTGTTCATTATTTAGTTTCTTTATTTTTGTTACGCTTGTGCACCATCATGAGTAGCAGATGAAATCCCTAGATAATTGTTGAAAGGGGAATTATCACTTATGGTATGTTAAAGAAACTGAAGATTCAGATTAATCTGACATATTACCTGACTATGATGAGCTTACCAAAATCTTAAGAAACTTCATTTCATGTAACTTCCTTTATTTATCAGGATTATCAAATAGTTCTATCCTGTCACCTATATTTGCTCTGAATCAAGTTCCTAAGCCTATCACTAATTTATTAACTATATGGTGTTTTAATCAACTATCTGTTAATTAATACTAGTTATTATCAAGCTCACTACTTTTTTGGAACGTCTTGTCGAGAATTAATTTGTGTAGACCAAGAAATTGATTGCTTCTTTACCAAGAAAAATGACTTCAACTTACTGGTCATATAGCAATTTGCGTAAAAGTAAGTTACCATACCTTTCCTGATATTATTCGACTAATGGAGCGAAAAGAGGTGAAGCTCGAGCCTATTGACAACATTTGATTTGTAGATGTACTTATATCACTGTAACGAATTTCTCCAAGAACAACTTTTATATTTTATCACAGTGAACGTCATGGGAAATTTGATGTTTATTTCCATTTATTCAAAGTAAAAACTGCATCTGCAGCGCTACTATGATATATAAAGCTGTACTGAAGATGCTTTCTATACCCATAGCAAAGGACTTTTCAATGAGGAATTAGGTTTATGGCGCAGTGACACTACCAGACACAAATTATATGTATACCCTTCCCATGTTAGGTTACAATATAAAGGAAATACAGGATTAACAGTATTCATTATGGACCTGTTGCTTACAGGTACTTCCCGCATTCCTCCAGAAGCTTGGTATAAAGGAACTGTGGTTTCAGCAGGACATGCGTATTGATAGTAGTTTGTGCCATCTGTATATCCTGGTGGTGGAGCTTCTGGAGGTGGCATACGAACTCGATAGCGAGGGATGGACATCCCTTTTACTTCAGATAAAGCAAGACGCCATACTACTGCGTCATCAGGTGACTGGGCGCAGAAATACCAATTAGATTCATCTGTCCTAAGGCCGAAAATGCACTCGCTAGAACGATCTTTAGGTGGATCGATATTTCGCTACAAAAACAGAGGAGAGATTAAAAAGATTAAAATTCAAAGAGTGCTGTGATAGTTGAGTTTTGAGTAACGAAATAGGTACTATAACGGACAGAATCGAAAAAGGTACTAATACAATATTGAAATGAACAAACAATGTTCTAAGTTATCCATATTTTGACAGGATGCCCAAAACGTATGGTTGGTTGTTTTTATATAGAAGAAATGCGTAAGAGACTATTCTCGACTACTTAGACGAAAATATTACTTGAGTTATTTTGTCAAGGACAGCCAGCAAGGTTTTGTGTTGTTTACCACTCATCAACATAATTATACGGTCTAGTGAGCGCAGACCGTAATTGAATAACGTAAGCGCTTTAGCTTAACTCAAGAAGTTTATAAGACTACATTTTTTTAACGTCCCTATCAGACGGAATTGGATTGCATACATTATTTATCACTGATTAATGACATCTCCAAACACTTCAAGTGATATCAATTGCAAAGCAGTTCCAGAGAATATTCTGGTGAGGATAACTTTGGGCAAAGGCTAAATGTGAACATAAACATACATGACGAGAACGTGGATCTAGCGAAATTAACTGATACATCTTGCAACAATTTCTAGTAACCACATATCACTCTTATTTGGACGATGCCATCTAGTATATGTTCAAGGCAAAACTAATGTCGCCAAAATTAACTGACATAAATGATCTCTAAAAAGTGATGTCAATTGGACCAGTCATAAAAAGGAGATATGAAAGAATGAGTCATAACACGGAGAAAAAAGACATGAAATGTATACAGTTTTTGCACCACTAATGAGCTTCCCTGTATTCAGAATGAGTTACTGTTTTGAAATTAAGGAATGTTTGGTAAGGGAATTCATTAACGTGACTAAAAAGCATTTTTCTTCGGAAACCTTTATATGTGTACAAATAACTGTCCAACTGCCTCCACGCTTCTATGTTATTAATGTGGACCCTACTAATAAAATCTACGGGTTCGTTGGTAGATAATGACTTTACACTGATATTGTAATCTTTCAGGAAAAAACACTGTAGACTCCCGTCTTCAGTACACACTGTGGTCCCTGTATGAACGCATCTTTTTTATTATCGAAAAAACTGTAGATGCCAGTGTCGCTTTTTATCTCGAATTCTAAAAAACACTACAATTAAATCAAAAACCATTTACCCAATCCCATTCCAACTTCCTATTGCATACTCGCTCTGGAGATAGCCAATTACAGTATTCTCATTAAAATGGCTCATAGATCTATCCATCTATCTATAACAAGTGTTTTGTCGATATCGAGGAATTTAAGTTAGATCTGGCATGACCTCGAAGTGTAGATATCAACCCTGATTGATTCGGCAACATAGTTTAGTTTAACAGTGTCCGATAAATGAAGATACGCTACTATACAAGTCGTTTATGAAAAGTTAGCGAGTAAACGTTTCTCCAGAAAATGCGATTTCACAATCAAAAGGCAAATGAGCAATGTTTTACCAATATTTCGTCTTGTACTACCGCTTAGTAGTATCATTTCAGCAACGCATTCAGAATCGAGGAAATAATTTAGTCTACGCTACTACGTTATGTAGAATTATACGATCTGTTAACTCATGAGCAACACAGGTTTCGAAAGACATTTATGCTTGATTAATTTATTAGTTGAGATAGAAAATTGGACAACAAGCAAAGCTATCGCTTTGTCTGTTGACGTAATGTTCATGGATTTTATCAGTATATTTGGAAAGATATCTTACTCACGGTCTCCAGCTTTGGAATAACATGCTATACAAGAGTGGACAAGGAACTTTCTATGGCCAAAGATAGAATGAGGGTAAATGGGAACTGGTTAAAAAGTGTACATAAAGGCACAATATTAGGTTTTTTATATTGTCCCCTATGTCAAAAAATTACCAAGACTGTCTAAGTCATCGACACCTGTTTGCGGATAATGTTAAACTTTAAAAAACAATACTTAGTGGGAGTGATCATCTTGATCTCCAAGTTGACTTTAACGAACTAATTAGATGGTCTAAAAATTGGAATTTGGAGACTAATCCTAGAACAAACATTGGACGTGGCAACGGTACCCGGTATGCCACCGATCGCACACCGCTCCAAACGAGGCCTAGGAGTAACTGAGTCATGACTTAGAAGCAACTGAGTCGCAATGCACCAGCTCCCAAAGGTATCCGAGTGTTATGGTCACTTGGCCGAGCATTCAAATGTTTTGAATACATATTTTGGACTTCAGAACACACCTAATGTGAGACCTAACTTGGAGCATTGGATTTGTTCGTCTAGTCCATGCCTTACCAAGGATGCCACCACACTCGAGTGTGTTCAATGCGTGGGAACTAAGTTAATGACGAGTCTTTCTAAACTCTTCTACGATGAGTGATCACGACGCTGGAACCTCCCCTCATTGTATAACGCGAAGTGACCTTGAATAGCAATTTGAGTATCAACATATAGTACCTTTTTGATGCCTGTAGAAATAATCATCTTCGAGGTCACGGAAAGGTTTAAAATCGCGATCAAATAAACTCAATGGGATTTCGCTTTTCTAATCAAGGAGTCAATAGCTGGGACGCCCTACTTGGACGACTATTATCAGGCCTATTAGTGAACACATTCCAGAAGTTTCATCTCTACTGGGAAATCCCGACCGAAGCTGCTACCTTGACGCGGTAGTCGAGCTTGCCTATCGTGATGACCCAACCGAGCTATATTGGCTGGAACATATGTTCCTGTAGGTTCTACCATGCCAGGCAGGTCGATTGGAGAACGGTAAGACTAAAAGCAGCAACTCAAGGTCTGAGGGCGAAGTTGTACTGCTGACTGTAGAGGGGTGTGACAGCAGTAAGGTGTTTCCCTCGGACAACCAGCATGACAGCGATGTTGCCTTCCCACAAGGAGGGGTGGGGTTAGAAAAGCTCGACCCTAAAAATGTCACACCTCACCTTACCTCACGGATTTCCGTCTCCGGCGGTAAGGCCCTTTGAAGAACGGAGCTAACACATTAAAAACCTTCCACGAAAAGGCCGTGCGCGACCGGCCTCAAGCAGTTGTCCCCTGGGCTCTGCGGTCACGCTCCCAGGTCTTTAAGACCAACACTAATCCAATTTTCTTTTCAGGTTCCTCAAGAAATACCCTTCCACGGTGTGGGCAGCCAGGAAGTGATATCCTCCCGATTACTGCTTATACTCTTATTACCTCTACCACTAAGGGATTTGAATCGACCACTGCATCTCTGTGCTAATGTGGTAAGGCAACTCGAACTGATGTACGTACGTACGAAGTTCTACGTTGTTACTGACTGACTGACTACTGGGAAACAAGTTGCAAGAATACAGATCAACCAACCTACTTTATTCGTTCTGAAAACTGAAGACATCCACCCATAATTCCACAAACGTATACCAGGTGTTAGTCAGTCAAACAGGTAGGATGTAATATCTGCCGTGGCTTATCTGCACATCAAATTAATTGCTTTTCGTTTAATTCTATTTCGCAGACGTACGCCAACCTTAGTTCATATGATTTGTAAGAGTCAACAGACATCTACATGTAAATTCTCATAAACAACTCATACTGGTAACCGAAATTAAATATTAGAGGGCTTCAACTTTTTGAAATACCAATCCTTATAATTATCTGTAAGAACCACTATAGACGCAATATATTATCAGAGCTAACTTAAAAACATAGTGATATACTTAAGCTTTAGCATAAATTTCCATTAACTTACGTGACCAGATAGAATTTCTCTGCATATTCGTGGAACATTAATAGTCGCTTTCGCTACATAATCATCCTTACTTTCAAAGTACCGCAGCTCACCATTCCCATAAAGAACTAGCCATGCCGGTTTCCAACGTTTTAAAAAAGTACCTTTGAAAATAAGATAAATAATTCTATAACCCAAACCTACTGAGACGAAGAACAGAGTCGGCTTTCAAGATGTTTATGGATGATGCCATCATCAGCTGATCGCAAGTGAACTAAAACAACCACTTCCTAGTTAGCCTTAAGTTGACACCAGTGGTCAAGTGTTCAATTGACAGAAAGAGGAAAAGTTTGTAAATTAAGTAAAAGATATCCGATGTCATACAAAGATGTCTTACGGTGCAATCATGAAATTGGCTACTGGGGAGAAACGCCCAACCAGTGGGATTTGGTTGTGTATCGAAGACTGGTCTAGTTATACGACTTACACAACTCCAAGTATAGGTCAGTGGTTTTATTCTTAGGGCCACTGGTGTCATTAATTTGGTCTCTGTTGTTCTTTTTTCTCATTAGTAACAATGCCTTGCTGCCTTCAAAAACTAGGAAGGTCATACTCTCATTTCATGAAGTCAACTCTCTTCAAACTAATTTCAAAAGATAATCTATAGCCGTCCTTCCACTTCAGCCATTGCTTCACGCCTTAAAAGTCCTATGACATGTTTCTCAGACCAAACGTCAGCTGAACTGCCATTACGCCAATGCTAGAAGCCTACCATAACTTTTATCTATACCTCATCTGTTTATACATCACTTTGTTACTGTATTTCACCAACCAATCAAATCGCCCATACTTCATCGAACACCTGCGTACAGGAAGTTGAGATTGGAACGCCTGCATTAGGCGCTTCTCTGTATGAGGAGGCAAGTGACCAACATAACTTGTCATGACAAGATTTCCTAAGGATATGTTTTACAAGTACTTTCAAGATGGCAAAGATATTCGGCCCAGGTGGATTGTTTAGGTCGCGTTATCCTCTCCAGGCTGAACAGTGTAGCGGCAAATAAATCCTCAAAATAAATAGCTCCGCGAGTCTTCGACAATGGATGCTGACCACATTAGCTTTAATGAACTCACCTAGCTGAAGACGCTCGGTTATGCATCCGCACTAGATCACGAGTGGGAACACCGTGCTCAACAACTCCTGCAATCGCTAGCCAGATTAGATCAGATGGCCCTCGATATATTGATAGCTTATCAAATATATCCTCAAACCTCTTCGCTTCTGTCCTTTGGTTTCACTTTGTGAGTACGATTCATATTAGATGTTATGGAGACAGACCTGACAAAGCTTATCGTGTAAATAGTTAATAATGTTATTTGTATTTATTTTGTTTTTCACTCTATGTACATTTGTCAGTAAATGACTGTACGTATTTTTTTAAGTAAATGACCTTGAACTCACTTTTCCTTTGTGTAACTACATAGCGTGACATACTGTGGCTTGTTAACAAATACATTGCTACACACATACCCCTCGTTCTATTTTCGTTTGTGATTGAATCAACTGAAACCTAAATCAAATACTGACTACATTTATAGACTGTAAGTGGGAATATACCATACCTTACATTGGATTACACTACTGGAGAGTTCGTCAACCTGATTGGAATTACCAAGCATTTATAATTGTGGATTTACAGTACCAGACCCAATCTGGACACTCATCAACTTGGTGAACTTAAGTAAAGTCCCAATTTTTCTATTGTATTTGTAACAATTAACATTATTATTTACTCTTAATAACTTGGTTAATACTTTTTCACGTTCATATTTGCCTGGTCCACCACAATGTTACCACTTAAAGTGTTGTCAAACTCCAAATATCTGTGGCATCTTCAACAGCTTGGTTGTGTAGCTTTACCTCTGTCCAAGATTTTTTCTCAAAGTCTCATGTGTGTGACCATGTATGTCCATTTCGTTTCACAGCAGCACTGAGCAGAAGTGCACTATGAAAGCTCAAACACAGATAACGAAGCTAATAGGATGAAGAACAAAGATGGCAATAGAACAATCATGAAAAATACTACCAGCTGTCTAGTGACCCTTTGAACTGAGCTTTATCTTGGCAATCAACAGGTGGTGACCTGAAGCTATGTCATCTCCTGTCCTGGTTCTCAAGTCCTCTATTTTCCTTCTGAATTTTTAACTGATGCAAATGTGATCGATTTACTTCTCTTTGGTGTGGTGTGGTCAAACCCGCTCTGCTTACTGTACACATTAGTGTGGGAATATAGTGCCGCCTACAACCATTTTGTTGGACGCGCAGAAACTTACGAGTATCTCACCATTCTCGTTCCTTTCTCCTAGTCCATGTCGTCCCATGATATCTTCATAATTGTTGTTGTCTACACCGACATTGACGTTTAGGTCTTCCATCAGGATTGTCAGGTCCCTTCCCGATCACTTCGCTATGATCGATTGCAGCCTCTCATAGAACTGATCCTTATCGTCGTCACAGCTATCAGTTGTGGGTGCGTAGCATTGGATAAAATTCATTGTGACCCCCACCTTTGTTTTGAAGGATGCCTTGATGATTCTGGATCGATGGGACTCCCATCCTATAAGTGCTTTTCGGGCTTCTTTGGATAGCATCAGTGCAACTGTCAGAGTATGTGGAGTATTTTCCTCTTCGTGAGCGGAGTATATGTGCATCTCTCCCGTATCTGCCCTTCGCTGTTCAACTTGAGTTCATTGGGTTTCGCTGATTCCGAGTACTGCCAAGGCATATCTTCTTATTTCCATAACTATTTGACTAGTCCTCCCAGTCTTACACATTGCTCGGACGTTCTATGTATCAAAATTAATTACTAGTACATTGTGGAGATTAATAATTTTTTGATTGAGATCATGAACCGATTGATGTTAGACCACCTTTAGAAACCTGGAAACACTGGACGGCCGTTTCGTCCTATTTTGGGACTCCTCAGCAGTGCGCATCCACGATCCCGCTCGCGGGATTCGAACCCAGGACCTATCGGTCTCGGGTGTGAACGCTTAACCTACTGGACCACTGAGCCGACATCCAATGGTGATAGTGTCTAACGTTAACGAATCCACGAAATTGCGCGACCATCTTCCATTGTACTGGGGTAGATATCTGTCTCTATCCGACATGGATTAGCTCCACTGATCACGGCTTCTCACCAGAACTCCAAGGATTAGCGCATGTTGATTACTAGTATATACATGGATTAGCTCCACTGATCACTAGTGACTAGCTTCGTGAAGGATCACAAGACGTACTTGAAATAGCATGTGAACTCGAGCTGTGGATGTTGAGCTGTTGAGTCAGAGTCTCCAACAACCGCATTTGTGCATCAAGTTGTGCTTGCTGTTGTTGTAGTATTCGGTTAAGCTGGTCATCTGATATGGGCATCTTGAATTTGTTTTCCTTTTTCCCCGTCGCCACTGTTATATATCTCTCTTTCCTTACGGTTATGACCCAGCTATTCCTACTGCTTAGTATTCTCGGACACCGATTCACTCGACAAGTCCCCAAATCAAAACACGGTTGAACAGGAAGAGATTATATTCCAAATAACAAGGTTAGATGGAAGTGCTTGATCCATTGCAAAAGGGGATTTATAATTGCAACTGACTTAAGTCCGTTGATTAGAAGATTATGAAGTACTTTATCAAAGGGTTTCTTAATATCGAGGTATAGTATGATAACTAGTTTCTTCTGGTTACGTATACGAGTAACCTCGTTAAAGAAGTCTATCAAGCATGTACTGCACGACCTTGTTCTAATGAAGCCGTGTTGTGACGGGTCTATTAGATCTTCCTTGAGTAGGTGATCAGATAGTTTGTTTGAAAGGCAGCTACCAAAGAAAGAGATTCGGACTCGGCTGATTTCACATGTCGAGGACGTTAATGCTTCTTCTTAGGCTGAGACGTACGCTTCGGTGGACAATGACCTTCTTTATGTCCACGTTTGTTGCACGCCTGACATTTATGCTTCTTGAACGGACAGAATCGTGCATAATGCCAATCACCTCATAACCAGCATGCAGTATTTGGTCTGTTACGAGTTGTTACCGGCTTCTGAACTTTTAACCTAGTAATAGTATTTACACTACCGCAGGTTAAATTAGGATTTACCTGTTCAATCAACTCGTTGTCGTGTCTGATGCTTTGTAGACGCTTACACTCATCTGTCAATGTTCTGAGTGTGACGTTTGGGTCTTGATCCAGCCCTCCTATCACGTACACGTGAACAGATTCAGATAAAGACAGCCAATGTAGCAGTAGTCTCTGCATCAGTAGGCCTCAGCATACACAAAGGGAAAACCAAGGTCCTCAAATTCAAAGCGGAGAACAGCAATCCAATCACCCTTGATGGCGAAACTCTGGAAGATGTAGAATCCTTCACATATCTGGGAAGCATCGTCGATAGACATGGAGGTTCAGATGCAGACTTAAAAGCGAGGATTGGCAAAGCAAGGGCCGCATTCCTACAATTGAAGAACATATGGAACTCAAAACAACTTTCAACCAATATCAAAGTCAGAATCTTCAATACGAACGTCAAGGCAATTCTACTGTATGGAGCTGAAACTTGGAGAACTACAACAACCACAATCAAGAAAGTACAAGTATTTATAAATAGCTGTCTACGCAAGATACTCAACATCCATTGGCCGGATACCATCAGCAATAGCCTTCTGTGGGAGAGAACAAACCAACTTCCAGCTGAAGAGGAAATTAGGAAAAGACGATGGAAATGGATAGGACATACATTACGCAAATCGTCAAACTGCATCACGAGGCAAGCTCTAACTTGGAATCCTGAAGGGAAGCGGAAAAGAGGAAGGCCAAAGAACACATTACGTCGGATAATAGAAGCAGATATGGAAAGGATGAATTACAACTGGAAGGAGCTGGAAAGGATTGCCCAGGACAGGGTTGGATGGAGAATGCTGGTGAGCGACCTATGCTCCTTCACGAGGAGTAACAGGTGTAAGTAAGTAAGTAAGTAAGTCTTTCCTTACGAACAGATATCAAATAAATAACATTAACTCTAAAACATCTACACATCGACCAATAACCAGTGGTGTTGTGCAGGGTAGTGTCTTGGGTCCATTGCTCCTTATAATCTACATCAACAATATATGCATGTGTTTTAGCACAGGTAAGACCTACCTCTATGCCGATGACTTAAAAGTCATCTATAAAACTGACATTTGCGATTTACGCAGTACTATGCAAACAACCCAACATGAACTCAACATGGTAGATGACTGGTGCAAACGCTGGA